GCGTCTACCGCTTAACCCCATAGCCGTGAAGCACGGCGGTCGTACCGTCGGCGGAGCTGCTAAGGTTCGCATTCCTTGTTGCTGCACTGGAGCTCCGAGATAGAATGCCGGGCGACGCCATCATGACCGTTGACATCTGGGGAACCATGAAAAAGGGTGAACCATGTTGCCTTAATGGCTTCCGCCAGTACCTTAAAAACATCGTGGCAGTTGCATACAGTTGGATATGCTTAGTCCGTGACAGCCCATACTAGATTTCCAACGGTACAAGCTGCAAAAATTCCGGCCCAGCACCTATACCTCCTCATGCTCGGCTGAAGGCACCTCCAACGGTGAAAACCTCGCCAAGCCCTGATGACTGGATTCCCCAGCCATCGTTGTTACGGCCTGATTTGGTGGCGCACTTGCCGCAGAAGGGTTCCTGTTAGGACCAGCATTAGGACTGCAGTTAGGTAACCAATTGATCCCTAGGAAATGTTTCGGTTTACACTGCCGACGTAATGCTCTCTGAGGTCGGACTATGGCGGCGTGAATACTGCGTCACATGGGAACCTATTGCGTACCCTATGTTGTAGCCGCGTCGCGCCAGCTCCGACTGCAGCCGCTCCGCTGCATGTTCCACGTCGTACAAGCCCTGAACCAGCGAGCGCGACTGAGCCTGAGCGTTGTCTGCTGCCGTCTCCCGAGCGCTGAACGCGGATTTGGCCTTATCGGCTTCGAGCCGTAGCTGCTCTGCTAGGCGATGAAGATGCTCAGCCTGCGCCATGGTGCTCGATGCCTGTTTTTAAGTGACGCCCAAATACCCAGATACACATTAGTCATGGCATTAACAAGCCATGGACAAGGGGCGATACGGGGCCAAGAAAATCACACAACTTAAAACACTCGTCATACCATGCTGGCCACGTCACCGCAATCCAGCGTTCCAATCCGTCCATTTCCCACACCTGATCCTCATGCCCGGCCATCTCAAGTGTAAGAGCCTGCTCCTCAAGGCGCAAAGCCTCATCTGCTTTGGCTGTAGCGTCTTGTTCGAGCTTAGCCCACGTCTTCCGCATTTCCTCCGCGCTTGCTGCTGCCTGCAAAGCACAGCCAAGCAGCTCAGCTGGATCGCAAGGAAAGGATAGGGTTTGGTGACACGGGCGGCGATAAGGGCAACTCGCCTCTTTCATCAACGACGAGGAAAAGGACGGAGGGGCACCCAGCACCACCTGTCAAGTTATGGAACATACCTGTTCCGAACGCTGCTTCCAAAGCTGCAACAGACGAGTGGTCTCCAACGTTCCCACGAGGTGTGACATGGCAATGCTATCCAGGATAGCTTCTGCCTGCAGGTCATTGAGCGCAACACAGGAAGCGAAACGCCCGGGTAATTGACGTGGCGCCCCTCTTTCATGTCGGTATTTGCTGCCCTTCTCAATAGCTACCTGACCGTTGGCGGGCTGACCGTCTCCAACTGGCAGAGCGTGGCCGTCCTGCAGCCGCTGGCATTCCTTGTCCATCTGCTCAGCAAGCCTGCAATACCGTATTGATACAAAGTGGGTGTGCGTGCGTCCACTGCTTATCTCGGATTGACATACATCCCGGACGACCATACCGAGCTATTCGTTGTCGGTGCATTTCAGTTTGCAAGAGTAACCGGTCGCCGACTTGACCAGCACCTTCCAGCGCCGCATCCTGCGCGTTGGTGCTTGAGAGGCCGCGAGCTAGGATGGCTACGGCCTGCGCGGCAAGTGCCTCTCTGTCCTTGGCCTCTGCACACGACAGGATGGTTGATTGTGTGAAGAGGCATGGAAATGTATACCATCACGATGTAAGAAGACCAAAAAGCGCATGCCATTACGGTACTCGTCCACTCATTTGAGTTGTCACCCTCGGTATGAAAAACCCTGCATGCCTTGCAGCACATGCTTCAGGCAGCCGGCAGAGACACCTTACGCATGCATTTCCTTTCAATGACGCGAGGACAGGGGCATTGACTGCTTTCCACGTGAATACAGTAACCACCCTCCTCTGACACACCTCGGAGTTGCTGGAAGTCATCTGCGCCTTCCGCAATTGCAGCGGCAGGGTCCTTAGTGACGTCTGCCTTGCTCAACTCCGCAAGCCGCTTCCGCATAGCACTGGCATCCGCGCGGCTTGCATTGAGGTTCTTTCGTCCCATGTCCAGAAGTTCCTCCCACGTGCGTATGTGCACAGCCAGCGCGTCTGCTTCCGCAATTCTCCCTTCGCTGCAGTGGCAAAGGTGCGAATCCGCTCAAAATTTCCGTACAACAATGATTGGGAGAGGCAACTTTGGAAAGCGACTGCTTTTAATGCAGGTCTTAATCACTCTCGCAACGAACGGGTAACTACACATGGTGCCTTGACGACGCCCATGCTGTACATCCTCGCTTCCTTCGTCCAGATCAAGAATGCCTCGTGGCGCTTTACCTCACATACACCTCACACCCAGCCAGGAATTCCCACCCCTTCCAGGGCGCCCTACCTGGTCAGCTTGTCATACTGTTCACGGTCTTCTGCAAGCCGCTCCTCATATACACGGACAAGATCCTCGTGCATAGCACCTGCGCCCTCAGCTGCAGCGCACAGCGCTGCTAGTTCATCCGCCTCTCCATTTAGCCTGCATATATTGAAATATTTATTGGTCTCATTTGGCGAGGACAAGTACGCATTAAGTGACGACTAGGGTCGTGTGGGACAACATGCCTCAAACCCTAACACCGCACCTGTCCATGCGCTGCTTTGCGGTAGCGTCCTGCAGGTGCTCCTGTCGCTTAGAGAAGGTATCCAAGTCATGCTCCGCCTCCTCCATCCGTTTCCTAGCGGCCTGCAAGTCTGGCATCAGCCGCTGCAGAGAATCTCGAGCCGCCTTGGCTTGCGCTCTTGCGTAACCCGCCTGCTCCTGGGCCCTGATTGGTCAGGGACAGTTCGCAACATAGCCCTAAATGGAACGCCTCCCCATGCAAAAATCATGACTTAATACGACAGCAACGCTCGCTGTGGTGTTAGTTATCAAAGCCTGTTCTCGTCAGCAGACACGGACTTACGGTCCAAAGGAAGTTAACGTCCACGAAGCTCCCATTTTACCTGACAGCTTCTTGCATGAGGACATTAGCTGAGTCGAAGTTGCCATCCGCCATCTCCGCATCGGCTTGGTGCTGCGCTTGTTCCGCACGTGCAACGGCGGAATCCGCTTCAGCGTCAAGAGAGCCCGCCTGGGCCCGCAGTTCACCAGCTTGCTGTGCTAACCGATCGTACCGATCCTTCCACCTATATGCGTTCAACCAGTATAGGCGCAAGTCCCGGTCGTGTAGATACCTTTTTTGATCTGGAACCTGGAACAAGCTAGCCACAAAATTCAGGTCCCATGCCAGGAGAAAGCACCGTAGCAACACAGCCGGCAGCCTCAGGGAACCCATTCCCAAGCGTGCACCTGCAACCCCTGTTGTCAAAAAGCTTACATGACATATTGGCGCCCAGCAGCTTCGGACGACGACTTTAATGCTTCCTGCTCGAGGCGGTACGCATGTCGCATAGCAGCATCTGCCTGCAAATGCGCCTCCTGTGCCTCCCGCCGTTGCCTCGCGTACTCTTTTTGGAATTGCCTGCTTAAGCGAGCAGCCTCCGCTGACTCGTCACGAAGCCTTCAAAAAGGGATACAATTGGGAAGGCAGCGGGGCTAGGCTGGCGACCCAGTCGATGGTGCCTAATGCCCGCAGCCCATCTCTCGATAACGGAAGCTAGGTGCTGCCAAAAGCTCGCACTCGGCACAGCACGCACTAACTGTGAGGCCGTACGTTCATCACATCTGGGTAAGGAGACTGCATATCTGCGCATCGTCGAGACTGACCTGTTTGCCTGTCGAATAGAGTCTAGAGCCTGTGGCAAGTTGCCTGCCGCAGAATGTTGTTCAGCCAAGATTTGCATCTCCAGTGCCTGAGTCGTTGCTTGCGCAGCCGTTGCCGCCTGCGTGATTGCAGGTCGGGTCATGTGTATTCGCAACACGTTGCATGCTTATCTCCAGGCTTTGCTGAGCCCAACGCATTGTTACAATTCAACCAACACGCTCGCGAACGTGGACTGGTACGTCGCCACCTCGGCCGAGGATCGCAGCACACCTGCTTAGCAGCATTGTCGTATACATGTAACGCAGACCTGGCAGCCTCCGCTGCACGAACCCGGAACCTGGCAGCTGCGGCCGTCGTCGCAGCAGCCATCCGAAGAACCTCTTCAAAGGGCTGTCCCATAAGCGTTTGGAAATTAACTTCCTGCACATGGCTATTGCCACCAGCGCCCGCTGGCTTAGGAGGGAAACCACGCTCGAATGAACTCAAAATGCCCTCGATTTCGCTGTGGACTTGGGCAACTGCGCCCACCGCCCGCCGAGCTGTCGTGGTGCGTCCTTGCAAAAACGTGGCGAGGACACGCTCCAGGGGGTCTCCCCCCTTGTACAACACTAGGGCTCCTGCAGACGCCGTTCCCTGCTGGCTTGATACAGTAACCGAAGTATCCCCCCGAGGCCTTGCTAAGCTATCATCCAGCGGAGCAACAAAGTTGAAATCCTCAATGCCAGCATGCACTTCATCCAATAAGCTAAGCGCACGACGAAACAGCGTATTTCGTATGTCTGACGCCACAACTAGTTGGCCAGCAGGCTCCATGCTGGACCTTGACCGAGATGTTGACCACCTTATGGTGCACGTCAGGATTATATATTTTGGTTACATTTCATCCTATCGTGTTTCTTGCGTCAGAAACCAAATTGAGCGACCCGATATCTTCCCCGCCTGCATCCTAAAGGCCTCATAGAATAAACATAGAGCGAATAGATACAGAGCAATTATGATCATTATTCTACATGTTTGCGTCACAACCGTGACAGTAACTGACATGATGCCCCTAGTACGGCAACTCCCAGTTAATTTTGTTTCCGCAGATTTTAAGTTAATTCCCTGGCATGTCAGCCTGTCATGTTTCTTTCATTGCTTTGCTACCTGCCCCTGATAAACTTAACATCGTGTCTAAGTTCATGCTTTTTCACAATGGTTGAGATATTCATTCCATCCGCAAATAGTTAATACTTCTCGGTTTATTGTTACGATTATGAAATAGTGTCAGCAAGGAAAGAAGATGCGGCGAAAACATTGATTGTTCAGTTACCGATCATCCTATCCTAGGTACTGTTTTGTTTTCATGGATGTTCAGGTGCCAAGGTGGGTCACATTTTTCTGCTGGCACTTGACGGAGTGTATGCAGGTCTTTATATTGAGCAGCAAAATGGGCTAGAACGCGCCCTCTAGTCCTGTGCGTTGGCTGTCTTTCGTGTGCCTGCGAGCTTCGTCTCACGGGGAGTGTTTGTAGCCTTGGACGTTTCTGTCCCTTGAAATGTTCTGGTCTGTGAATGCGAATGCTCACACGTCTGCACCGCCACTTGATTATGTACATGCAGCACGTCCGCAGTGACAACGGGGGGAGCCAGTCCCCGGGCTGTTGCCTCGCCGTCGTCCCGTGTACGATCGAATCTGCAAGACTCGATATCCGCGAGCAAGCTCTATAAGGACCTATCGCCGACACGCGCATACCAGAGCAGTCATGATGAAAGCCGTGTTGCTTTGCCTGATCTTTTTAAACAAAAGAACAGCTTGCAATCGTTGCGCCCCACATACGCGAACGAACCGATTGGAGTTGATGAGGACGACGCTGGCCGGACGCCCAAGCTGCTGCAGAGGTTAGGCTCAGTAAGGATGGAGCTGCACGATGAAACCCATGTTCATAACCGATATGAGTATAACCAAGAACCGGGTGCCACTGGAAAGAGCTGGGGTGTACTTACGAGTGGTAGACATACCGTTAGAAACCATACTGTCTTCAAGGCAACCCTGTTAGGAGCCGCCGGACTACACGATGCACAACAATGTTTGAGGCATGAGCCTTGTCGTTGTAAGCGTTTATTCTCGTTTATCCTCATGGCAGGTTGGAAACTTTGCTAGAGGAGAAGCTCAGCCTTGTGGAGCGCCTCGGCAACGGGAACAAAGGATTTGCAGCTGCGCAGCTTCGGACAGATGCCTTTCGGCAGGTAGTTGCGCATGCCTCCAGTGCGTGCTGCACCGTACATGGTGTGTAACAGTAAACATAAGCACAGTGAGACAAGGACAGAGAGCCTAATCCTTCATCGAACCAACGAATGCTTCGGAGGTGGAGAATGTGGTTCTCAAATGTCATGGGATTTCCGGGTAATGGATTTTCGGTCCGCGAGCTGACACTTGCTGACAATCCTACAGTGTCGGTTGCTCTTGGAGGCTGGTGGTCTTTCGTAGCCTGCAGTTCCCTCGTCGCATACCGAAAATGTCTTGTCGCCAAGTTCATACCGATTGTTTACCAGTGGCCTTTGCACCGTACGACCATGTCTATTGGATCAAACACAGGTTTTCGATGCGTTCTTGCACAGCTTTACGACGTACCGGTCGCTCCTTTTGCGGATCAAGCAAGAGTACGATGTCGCATTGGACGATGCGCTGGCGTCACTATATGACAACGTGCACATGAAGGCGGAGCTGGCAGTGGTAGATGAGCGGATGGTAAGCAAAATTCAGCGATGCACGTTGTCGCCTGAGGGCTGCCCTTGCTCTGTCTGTTCTTGCTGGTTGGATATTGTCCTCACCTCAGAATCAGACATTTTGCCCTGCTTTTGCAGGCGAGCGCCATACAGCAAGCCCGTGCTCGTGCGCTTGAGGATGCTAGCGCTGTCCGCAAGGAGCTGCAAGATCAGCTAAACATGGAGGAGAGCAAAGCGCTCCAGGTAAGCAAATCAACACTATTTCGGGACCCCTTAAGAGTGCTCTGGTACGAGGTTAGTCTTCTAATTCATTTACACAGGCGTATAATCCTTACGGCTAACAGAGTATACACATAGGCTTTGTACAGATGCCTGGTTTACGCACATCCAGCTTGGCTAATTGCTTCTGCAGGCTGAGGCACGGTGCCAAGCCGCGGAGCAGGAAATCCAAGCATGCAAGGCGACAATCCAGCAGCTTAAGCGGGAAGCGGCTGAACTACAGAAGGCAAACAACGACCTGAAGCTGCAGCTGCTTTTAAAGAGCAGCTGGGGCAGCGGACTGTTAATTGGTCAGAAGTCAGAACCGCCAACAACTACACCCTGACCGTTGCAATGTGCCACATATAGAGGGCAAGGCCCTTCCATCCAATCCGACTTCGTATGCATGTCACGGCTGCGAATCCATCCCGTGCCGTACGTAATAAAGAGTCGAATGCCTGGTAAAGCAGGTTTCATTTACCCGCCACGTGCTTCGCGACGAGTTGCATCGTGTAGTACTTCAACATCGACGGCCCCCGGTGGCAACTGTAGACAGAAAATCAGGTTGCAATTGCATAGGTGGATTAAGTTGCTATGCAAGAAATGTATTAAATCATTCTGCAATCGTCTGTAACCATACGGTGTGGGTAGGGCAAGTTCAGTAATGCCTTGCCACAACAGGCAATTACCCCTTCCTTCCAAGCTCAACAAGCGCTTACATGTACATAACGTACGACGGAGCCTCGGATAAAACAGTTCCGGACGGACATCTGCATTGGTACGGACAATCCCATTGTCAATGCGTGATAACATTATCTCTCGAATCCCAGGACCCATTTCTACTGCTACGGCAGGAATCCCTCAACAACACGAGGGCGAAAAGTGATGCGGCTCATGCTCCATGGAGCATTGAAGTTGGGGGAGTAAACTAGGACGCAAGATTTAAAGGAAAGGCTGGAAGTCTGGGGTAACGGATGAAGCCCCTCTGTCAATACTCTCGCACACGGCAGGGAGGATTGAAGTGTGGGTGAGTTTCATCCCCCCATGGGCAACTATCTTCCTCTTCCCTCTCCATGAGAACCATGACCCGTGCGGATTGCAGCGAGATACACACAAGCACTCACCATATGAGGGTATTTCTGTTCGTTGTGAACGCGAGTATTGGTAAGCTTTATGTTGAGGTACTGGTCGACGCTATGAAGTGCTCCGCTTATGCACAAGTCATTCTTCAGCTCCACTGTCACCTGCCATCGCCGAGGAAGCAGCGTGTCCCAACCACTGTTCTCTTGCCGCACGCAGGGAGGCACCTGCAGTCCTGACCTCTTTGCCAACCAAAGTCTTGAACAAAGAGAAAAACAACACCATCGTGATCAAGTTTAAAATCCGAGCCTTTTGCGTGTGAACAGTGCTAGGTGATCAAGATTGCCGTCGGGTTATATGGTATTCAGACAGCAAAAGGAGTTGATCCTCTCTCTCACTCTCCCACTCCACCCTATAAAAGTCCTTTGCCAAGGTCCAAAATTATTCCCAGTGCAGTTGCCGCGAAAGAAGTGGCTTGCAGATCGAGGAGGCACGAAACAGTCCAGGTCAGACGCGTATGTATGATTGCTTAAGCTGAGGTGCATCCTTTCAAGCTTACGACGTATTAGGAAAAACACGCCGTACGTTTATGAAACCGAATTAACAAATGAGGGCGTGGCTAGCTTTCCGGAAAAGCTGCAATGGCAAAGATTGCCAATCGATAACATGCTTGCACAACTACAATCATTTGTTTTCTGGTAAAGCATTATAATTGCGGCGGCGCCGCAAGTTGACCCTTGGGGAGCTTGGATATCGACATAGAGAGGAAAGATGGCGGATACAGTGCAATACTTGATGGAGCTCATGATTCCTGAGCTAGAGGACTTGGAGCGCAAGGGGTACTTCTCTCGTGCGGAAATTAAAAAGATTGTCCAAAAGCGACAGGATTTCGAATACCTCCTTAAGCGGCGTGCCCCTTTGAAGGAGGACTTTTATAGGTAAGCTTTAACTGCCGCCCGTAACGGGACATTCTGCATAATACACTTCTCCGTGTTGCTGTTAGGTACATCGACTTCGAGTCCAAGTTGGAAGAACTCCGGCAAGCCCGCAAACAGAGGCTGGGTATCAAAGGCAGGTCATTTTGAACAGCCTTGGCCCACGGGTGCGGTGTGCTATGGTCCAGGATAACCCCTTGCGGCCTTCCCCGAAGCCTCCACGCCCTGGAGCGCCCGCTTAACGTCATAGAAGTATGAAGCTCTTGGGACCGGAGTAACGAGGGTACACATGCCTGACGCGTCACCCTGCCCAGGCAAGAAATCCATTGCCGAGATAGCAATTGTGCGGCGTATTCACTTCATTTACGAGCGTGCGGGGCGCAAGTTCAGGAGTGATCTCAGCCTCTGGATGCGCTGGATCGAGGCTTGCAAACGTTACAAAAGTTCAAAGCAGCTGTCCAAGGTACGTTTCAATCCCATCACTAGTTAGCTCAGGAGATGTTGGAAGGGCCGGGATAACTTAAGAACTTTAATGTCCCTACGTGTCCACAGGTGATAACAAAGGCGCTGCAGCGACACTCCACCGTATCCGAGCTGTGGATTGAAGCGGCGCGGTGGTGAGTATTACGGACGCAGGGCTGGAGCCAGTGTCACTGCTGGATTAGGGGGCATGCACTGTGCAATCTTGTGAGTGGGGGTGTAGGCTTTTCAATTTATCTGCGTGGGTCTAGGTGACCTTCCGATGTTCCGTAAATTGCAACGTATGGCACGAGTGTGCGTCTGTCACTTTTCCCATTAACGTTCCCTCACGTTGCCACTTAGGGGGGAGAACCAAAGGGGATGAACCGAAGGGGATGGGGAACAAAAGGGGGAACCAAACCAAACGTGCAAAGACTTGAACCGTTGTTTCCCTTGTGCAAAAACCAGGGAATTCGACATGAACAACAACATTACAGCGGCCCGTAGTCTCATGCAGCAAGGCATCCGCATGTGCAAGACGGACGAAACCATATGGGTGCAGTATTACCACTTGGAGCTTCTGTATGCGCTGAAGCTGCGCTTGAGGCGTCGCGTCCTGGGTTTGGACGACCCCTCAGGTGAGCTGATGGCGTCGGTCAGCTGATTAGGCCAACGGCTCCAATTCTTATTGTGGGTCCTGGCATGTGGAGAAGTGACGAGCATAGACTGGATAATGGCACGCTAGTTGCCAAGCTAGAACGTGGATTGCATTTCAAACACCGTCCGATCCTCTGCACCCTACGGAACACCATCGCAGCTGCGGAAGATATTGACGAAGCAGATGGCCAGTCAGTGGCGGCAGCTCGCGCGGTTATGCAGGGTGGCGTGGCACGCATCGTGTACAAGAATGCTGTCGCCGCGTTACCCGGCCGTTTGGCTTTTCGCGCACGCTTCCTTGGGGTCCTGCGTGGCTTCGAGTACGGATTTGTGGAGGCCCTACTGGACCAAGTGTACGACAGCATACGCCAGGACTTTGGCAAGGTGCCAATACAGTTACGGATTGACCATGGGTCGTTAAGGATAGGACACCTTGCCTCTTAAGGCTTGCGTTTAGATAGTGCACTTTAGCAACAGGTTTCTGGAAAATGGGGCATGAAGGCGTTTGTGCACCATGCGCTCGCGCCGTTTGTATTATGTGTTATACAGCGCTGTTCCCTATTAACGCATGTTTTCGCATGGCCAATGTAAAAAATTCTCGGTGCTTAGTGATATGGGCAGCAAGGCGGACTTCCGTCTGGATGATGGCTGGGCGTGGACTGGATGTGAACTGCATTCCTACTGCTGTAGCTCATGCCGCCTGTCTGAATCTTTGTGGCAGGTTGAGGAGGCCTGGGACCTGCTGGCACGACGCCACATTGACTTTCCCACCTCCAGGCGAAGCAACCTGAGCGAGGAGAAAGAAGGGGATGCGGCTGAGCGGCAGCTGGGTCAGCGGGACGGGTCAACCTGGATGTCGGACCAGATACAGGTCGACGCACAGGCGCCCAATGTGGAACCGGCATGGGATGCGGACGGACACCGGCAGGCGTGCTCTGTGTACGAAGAGGGACTTACTGCTGTGCCTACTCCCCGTATCTACCGGGTGTTCTCTAAGTACCTCTGCGAGACGTTGGACCGGTTGATGGCGCAAGGGGAAGCGGTGCTGCAGCCAGCATTGACGGTGGCCGCGCAGCTATTCAGCTTGCTTCAGCGAGCCCATAGTTCGTCCTGCAGCTGCCCCGAAACGTATCTCACCTGGGTGGACTGGGCGGAGAGGGTGCAGCAGCCAAAGGTGGGCTTTTAGTGAAACCGGGAGCTTGCATATGCGGATGAATGGTAGCATTGCAACTCGACAATGCTGCGTGGCGTGGCCAGCATCATACAGTACCTCCACTCCTTAACCATGTAAACCAGGGTTCAACCCAACGGCCACTCCAGCAAGTAAGCTGCGCTGCTGCATTGGCTGAAAGCAGCGTGCATCCCTAACCGAGTCTGAACAAAAAAACAGCATGTGTGTCCGAAAAGTCTACCGCTTCTATGCACTGGTGGTAATTGAGAGCCCCGCATCGCTGTCCCACCCACTGCCAGATGGCGCTGAAGGCGGCACGCAAGGGCTGTGAGCGCTTCCCTTCGAACGTCGCGATGTGGCGGCGGCGTCTGGAACTCGAGGTGGTCCGCAGCGGCGACAGAAAAGATCACGCGGTGCAGGAGATCATGGCCATATTTGAGGCTGCATTGCAGGCAACATCTCCAGAGCAGACGTGCGAGGTGTGGCTTATGGCTATCGACACGCTGCCAGCTAATTGCCCGGAGTTTGCGCGACTGGGTGAAATGCTGGCTGTCACATGCGCTAAGGTGGCCAAGAAAGCGCCCTCGGGCGGCCTTGGGCAGGTGGCCACAGCGCTGGTTGAGAAGGCCAGGTACGGTCGTGCATGGAAGCTGAAACAACGGCCCCCTGCCTCCTGCATGTCCGAGAGGATTATGGTTGTGAAAGCACACGGTATAGCGTCACCCACGGCCGCTTCCCCCGGCGAAATTTGCCTTCCCTTCTGTTTCAGGGCACCCTATTCCATGCACCCAACCTGGTATCATACACTTGGGCTTAGCGCCCATCATCATTATCCTGTATAAGGCTCAGGTTCAGTGCCGATCACCTGCATTTAGCAGGATCTGCCGGATGAATGGCGCCGAAAAAGTTACGCCGGCTTGGCTCGCAGGCCGCTGTACTTGAGATCCTTCACCGTCAACCGGGCGTGGGGCCCCATCTGTTTTGACCGTAATCCTTTTTATGATTGAATCAATCCCTGAGATCGCATGGGAAATACGGTCGCGCCTTGACATCGGGATTGCCTGTACCCATGAGTATGTGATTTGAAATGCCACGGAGTAGCACAGACGACGGTCTGTGTTGGTAGGATAAGCGCGTCGCGGACATGCCTGGGTTTGACATATTGTGAAAAAGGTGGAATGAGCCCTTGGCTTAGCTGTATAAATTGTCAGCCCTGTAAAACCATACGCCCCATTTTGTCTGTTGCACAGGGGTTCGCTTGGAATAGACAACGCACGGCATTTATATGCCAAACTTCTCGCTGTGCCGGCGCCCGGCGGCGACCTGTATCGATGTGCCATAAGGCTAGAGCGTGATGCGCTGCGGCTGGAGTACTCCGCAGACAATATGGCTTCGGGTTCATGTGCGCCGCCCAAACAGGCGGCTAAGCGAATTGCAGATCTGTACGAGGCGGCCATTGCAGCGTACGGCAAAACGGAAACTGATCTATGGCTTGACTATGCGGTTTGGCTGACGCAGTGCGGGAAGGGATCGGGGCAGGTGTACTGGCGGGCAACGAAGGAGCTAGCTGAACCTGACTCCTTCATTGCACAATATCGAGAAGCGCTGCAATAGTGCTATGGTGGAGACGCGAAGGCCCCCATTTGGCTGTTGCCACATAATGTCTGTGCACTTTACATTTTTTTGCAGGTAGAAGTGTTCAGGATATTCATGATCTCATATTGGTGTCCCCATAACGTTGACTTCGTATCGGATGCAGCCGAGACGTTAGGCTTTTTGATGTCACTGTAACACGACATGCATTAGATTGTTTACAACTCGCATTCCAGCTGTTGCTGAAGAGGGTTACTTGCCAGAAGAGGGAGGCTTGCCAAGTAAGGTACGTATGCCACCAGAGAGTCCGGTGTTGTGGAATTCGTTGCTGGTTTGGAAGGAGGGTAGGACGCAAGGTCGGGGAGAGCAATTCTTTGGGCTGCCCTGGTCGCACAATTCTTGTGCTTTCCTAAATCGACACTCCGAACAGGCCAATTCTGATTGTCGGAATGTCCCTACCAGGCCAATTCGACACCCCGACAGGCTAAATCAGACTGTCAGAATGTCCTGCCAGGCCAATTCGTGTCCCTGTCAGGCTATTCCAAGGGCCTGTCCCGGCAATTTAACTTGTCCCGTGTTTAGCCCACGTGCCAATTAAAACCCGTATACCGAGCAGTTTCGAGCAATTGCGGGGTCGGCCCGGAAACTCAGGCTGGCTTCCGGAATCGCGGGACTTGAAGGAATTTTATGAAAGCTCTGTAAGGGGAACACTTACAAGTGTCTCACGTGCGTACTCTGTTGATTTCGATTCCGGTACGTGGGGCAGAAGTGTCAGGAACCCTACGCACCTGGTTACCGTATTCTGTACTCATTGATTCATATATTCATTGTGTGTGTGTCCGTGTTCGACGAAAAGATACCACCACCCGAACCGACCCGAACCAGAGGCGTGTGTGCATGGCGAGCCGCCCACAATGTAACACCCCTTTTATCCGTTCATTCATTGATTCGGTCATTCATTCAATTATTCATTCAATTATTCATTCAATTATTCATTCATCCAATCATTCATCCAATCATTCATCCAATCATTCATCCAATCATTCATCCAATCATTCATCCAATCATTCACACGGACGAAGAGACGTAAACACGCGCCCTGCCCTGCATTGTGGTGTGGCCCGGCACAATGTAACACCCCGTTCATTCAGTATAAGAAGGTCTCCTTTCGGGTGCTTTCGATTCGACGCCCGGACTTCGATCGGTGCTGCCAGAGTCCAATGGCCGCGCATCAGCCCCCTTCCGACGAGAGGGCTTCTTCAATATATGTCGCGTTGTGCCGCTGCCCTCCGTGTGCGCCAGCTTGCCTTCAATGAGCTGCCAGTCGTAACACAATAGCTGCTCAGCTCCTGCACCAAGCACGCATTGCTGAATGTAAAGGCCGACAGTACTCAGTACAAGGAACCAAGCGCTGTTTTCGTTTCAGCCTTACTTGTTTGGATTAGAATGTATATAAGGTGCACGATTCCCGTTTTCGTGGTTAGAACTTGGCAGGTATTAGTCAGCTTCCGTTAATCAAGTCCATAAGCTAACTCAACCCATCAGGATTCAAGACAACTTTTCCTAGTTCAACAGCATGACCAATCGACGATAATGTTTCTGTGGAGATCGAGGGGACCGAGCCATTTCACAGGACGCCTTCTCCGCGGGGCCTCGCTCATCGGTAGCGCGCCTGTCTGTCTGCAACCTTCAATTACTGTATATGGAGCACCAAGATGGGATGGGACTCTTCTTATTTCTACATTGCGGAGTTTTATTGCCGCCGGCATCATAAGTACCCATTCTTCCGATGATCAACTTTCCTGGAATTATGTGTGGCTTCGATATTTAAAAACAGCCGGTGAAACTGCGGAACCGTTACTACGCGTTCCTCCTTCCAGGATTGCTGCGGCATTTCCATCAATCGACACATGTCCTACGATTGAAGCCCTCGATGCTCACATTCAGAAGCACAGCTATGAGTATTCGCTGCGGCACGTGGCAACGGGTTTGACAACGCTGTCGAGCCTCCGTGCGCATACCACACATGGTGCCCACGAAGCCTCATCCAGCGCTGTTCCCACGGTATCCTCTCCAGATTCGGCTGCGGTCTCTCCTTTTTCAGGTAAACAACCCTCTGCAGAAGTCACGAATCTTTTCGGCGACCTGCATCGGACGGGCAACGGAATCGTCAGGAGGTCCTTGGCGCCAAGCGATTGCGGTGGCACTCAGCCGTCACCTGACCCGCGTGTGGAGGCATGCGCACGTCGGCTGGCTCTTCTGGGCCACCACCAGATGAAGAGGGAGGTGAACCTGGAGGCCATGGCTCTGTGCATCACAGGAATTGCGGGCCTCAGCATGCCGGCCCCAGCAAAGGCGCAGTTGGCCTTGCCGTTCGTCAAGCGCCTGCGTGATCCCAGCTATTTTTTCGCGATGCGTGACCAGACCCCGAAAGCCTTGACCTCGCTGCTATACGCTCTCAGCGAATTGCCGCTGTACAGGCATGTGCAAAAAGCGGATATCGCCCCCATGGCACAGGTTCGTGGCTCCTGGGATCGACAATGCAGGGCATACCAATCAGTTGCTGCAGAATACTTCTGAGCTTTATACCCTGGGGCGCCCCGTTGCAGTGCTGCGTCAGGCGCACCATGCAGGATCCCGACAATGTCGCCTTGGGGTGGTCTACGCCCCAAGGCCCGCTTTGCTAACGATAAACATGTTGCTGAAGAATAAGCTCGATAATGTTCGAAATGAGCCTTGCTTACATGGGGAGCCTATCAGCGCAAGCTTGCCGTTGCAACGCGTGCTTCGTTTCATCCCCAATGCAAGTACCGCTGTACGTCGTTGGTGATGCTGGCGCTGGTGCAGGTTTTAGCTCGCCTGGTTATGAGCCTCACATCGCACGTAGTGTCGTTCTCGGCCCAGGATGCCTGTAGGGCCACGGAGGCCTTGGTGCGGCTGGGTGCCTTTCCAGAAAGGCGCGAAGCCCTTGCCTACCAGACTTTCCTGCAGGTGAGGTGGGCAATGGGGCTCAGGGGAGGGGCACCATCCGAACCGTGCAATCATAGGCCCTGGGTCCGGAATGGACAGTCATCTCAGTGGCGCTGATACCGTCAGCCGCCCCACGTCCGCCCGCTGCCGCACTGCCGTCCCTCGCAGGCCCTGGCCTCACACATCGTGACGTCGCTCGTGGAGAGCAGCCTCGTGTCTCCCGCCCAGGCGGTGAGGCTGCTGAGGGCGTACGCCGCGCTGCTGCCTGCGTCCTGCAGCCCGGCCGCTGGCAGCAGTGCACGTGACAACGACCCTAAGTATGCGCTTCCCGCAGATTCTTCCCAGAAAACGTGGGGCGGGAGCACGGTACCGCAGCTGGTGGCTGTGCTGTCCCGGGTTTCATGCCGCTCGCTGGACTCTCACCTGCCTCTTGAACTGGTCAAGCTAGTGTCCGCGCTGCAGCGACTCGGGGCTCAACAGGAGGCACAAGCTGTGCTACCAGGAGTGACGCCGCGACTGCTGCGGCAGCTTTCCAGGTGGGATCCGTGCGACACAACATTAAGATGTCGTCAGGGCTGTCCTTAGGCAGTGCGGGCTCCGTAATGTCAGGCTTTACGTCTCCTTGGCTGTATCCAATGGTGCCAGGCAGGCCGAGCGTTGGTCTGGCCGGGCATCGTATGCCGCGGATGTTGGCCTGGTCACTAGCCATCTGTGCGCGCTGTGAGGCATCTATCGCGTGTTCATGGACGCCCCTGTGTCCCCTGGCCAACTCCAGGCTGGATATCGCTGCGCTGGCTGAAGTGGCGAGCGCGTACCACTTGGCGCATGTGCATGAGCCCGGGCTCTTGCAGGCGATCGCGGATCAGGTGAAGCGCTGCAGCGGCCTTATCTGGGGAAACAGCCGCCTGCAATCATGTGGCCTTCCTTTGCATATGTCCTGCCTTGATCCTTGATCCGGCCCGACGCGACCCAATCTATTCCGGCACATGTCCACGTTACAATTCGTAATGCGCGTCAAATCAACACATTCCTCCACATGGGAAGTTATCCAGATCAGTGGGCCAACCGCGGCTGGCATGTCCGTCGGCTTTACAGACTGCGATGTGGGAACGATGCCTTGACCGGGATTGTGCTGATCGTTGCGTGCAGGTGATGGAGAGTGTTAAGGACTGCCCGGTAATCAGTACGCGGGTGGTAACTCAGCTGAAGATGTGCTACGGCGCGAGGGGGAGCCACTATCACCCCGAGCTACAGCTGAAGCTGCTGAACATGCAGCAAGAGTATGTTTCGGGCGATGGCACCGCGGGTGTGGAAAGAAACGATGCCGCGCCCGGGCACAACGGTAAGCTGCGTTTCACACCACAGTTAGGTATCCGCCAATGGCCCCACTTGAGCAAGGTCCTTACGTAGTGGCCTTTGTTGTCTGCCTGTCCCAGCTGCCTTGCACCCGCGGAAGACTTGACTCTTTCAGCTCGCTGAGTTTGGCCCCACGTTATCCATCTTCTGTCCGGAATCTGGGCTGTCATTGCATGCGTTTCTAAGCATCGTTACGTGGCTGGCTAGCTACCCAATAATAATCGCCTTGATACTTACGGGCGCCTTGCAACTTGAAGCGATGACTTGTTTTGGTTTGGCTGGGGCTTGTTGTCCTCTGCAGGGGCTTTGTGATTCGGGTTTCACGCAAGTCGCCAGTAGGGATGGGATCTGCAACCAGCTGCAGCTGTAAGGAGCAGCCGCAGAGCAGCCTGGCGACGAGCTTATTGTTGCGCTGGTGTGAGAGCTCAATGAAGCTGCCAACGCACTTTTGGCCATAAATTCTGCAGCACACCATGGGTTTTGGCTTCAGTTACAGAGCGCATTTGTCTTGACAGCTGTCATGCACGGCCATTGCCAAGAGGTACGAGTGCTGAATAACTCGTTCCTTGGTCGTGGCTTGATGAGAATAGGGTTTGGTGTTAGAATAGTGAAGTCCCGCAAGGGGAATGTGTCGTTTGCCAATTTTGCCACAGTTGCATCGAAGTTGCATCGAAGTTGCAAGTGTCAATGAGCCAGCTGAGCTGTAAGTTTTAGCGAGCTAACCGAACGTGTATCATCCGATCAGTACTTTGACCATGCCAATTTAGCAGGCTTAAGGCTGTTTTGAGGCTGTTTCGCATGTAGCATTCAGCATGGACCCCTTTGTTGGTCTCCCTGTGCATCCCTGTGCGTGCTTAGCAGGCTGCCGCACGGGGTGCACTCACTTTGTTTCAGGCATAGTTGTCGTTGTGCTCAAGAGGGAGGGGACATGCCAAAAGCCGGGGTGCCCCGCACTACGTCCGTAACCTGAGCATCTGTAAACAGAGTAATGGTGATTCTCTTTTTAAAGGATATACGACAAAGCGCGGCCAATTTATTGCTAGACATTATTTGCAAGTTCACACTGTAGTGGTGGCAGTATTGAATAAAAAGTAAAATTACTATTAAGCACCAAGGACCAATCGCTGTACGACAACTAACACTACCTTAAATCATTCCGCAGAAAGAGGGGGGTCCTGGTGGAGCATCTGCCCGCGTTTCCAAAGCCCGTATGGTGATGTGGAAGCTGCCGAAGTACTTTTGCGAGAAACAGGATGGGGCCAGACTGTAGAGGAAAGTGCAGGGGCATATTGGACTGTGAGTTTAGTGTAAGCGAGTTACAGGGCGTTTGGCGCACGGCGGAATGTACATGCAGTCTTGTCGTCGCGGGCGTATACAAGGACAACAAGAACAACAACAACAAGAACAACAGACTGAAACGGACCGATCAGGAGGGACCCTTCACTATGCCGTGCAAAGCACCACCAAGGAAGGAGCTGGCGCGCCAGACACAGCAGTTACAGCAAATGCGACGGCAGGGCCGTACTGCACAGCCTGTTGCTGCCCCGGGCCAACCAGGCCCCTCAAACGGGGGAGGGCCCGTGATGCGGGGCCGTGATGCGGTCAAGGTGGGGCATGGAGACGGCCATGGGAGCAGGACCCCAGCTTGCACCCATGGGGAGGGGTCTCAACCCGGAGCTGCAGCCGTATATCACACCCCCACCCGTGCCGCCTGCATCAGCCATCACCACCACCAATGTGGCCACCATCATTACCACGGCCGCAAACACCCCAGCCGCCATAGCAGCTACCAATCATGCAGCCAGCAACCCCGCCGTCCCTGC